AGACCCGGCCACAAATTCAAATTTGATGAGGCCAAAATTCTCGCAAGAGGTGACAATCAAGTGAGCCATGAATTACTTGAGTCATGGTTCACGGGCCCCTACTCCATCAACAAGTGCAACAATTTACTTAATCCATATTCACGGCTGAGACTAAATTTGGACAAAGCAAGTCGCCGCTCGGGGAACAGACAGGCCACTACATCATTCTATGTCAACACCGCAGGGCCAGATGGTCATTGCTGACGCAACGAATCAGCGCGCACTCAAGGCATTTATCGTTTTTTACGGCAAAACCCTGTGGGCATGCAAACTGTTCCTGCTACTGTTCTCTAAGTATGCCTCTGATGATAAACCCGCAACACATTTCGAAACGTCAGGTGAATAAACATATTGTCCCAGCTATCGAGTCGTCTTCTACGTCTCAATTACTTCCTGGGACTCGCATGTTCGCTTGTATTAGGAATGCAGTTTCTTTACGCTCTCTCGGAAACTAGAAGGAGGTCGAGGGAGGTTCATATGGAAAAATAGGAGATCAATTTTTTCAGTATTGCAGATAGTTTAAAAAGCAGGAAAGAAGGACGTTTGCGTCAAACAGTACAACGAGATGACAAGACTAGAAAGGTACTAAAGGATGGCAAAGTATTGGGTTGTTAGCATGCACAACCACAGGAAAAATTAGAAAGGCATATTGGGAGAACTGATTGAAGGGCATCCGTATGGAAACGACAGGTATCAAATCCAACTCGGGCTGGAATTAGAAATAGAGCACCGAACGTATGAATCGACGCACGAGGAAAAATGCAATTGAGGGACCATCAAAATTTCAAACAAAGTATGTGTGCAGCCACCAATTTCTATCGATTAGTAGAAATTGACTACAAATGCTGCTTAACGTTTCATTTAGCCAGTGGCTTGGTTCTAGCAAATCGATCGTGAAGTTGTTGTCTTAGCCTCCATGCAGAAATATACGTCGGCGTGAGCGACCACACACGCATATCTTAGCAGCTAAAACAGTACAGCTTTTCAGTTATCTTAAGTCTTCGATTCCTCGTGTGTAGGCGCATCAAAGAAGTTATATGGGTTACACCAGCTCTACATAGTACTGGGGTTAACATCCTGGTCGTTGTGAGAACAAGACGACCCCCTTCAACCCATCGAATTGAAGCAATGTCCGAAAAATGCGGCTGCCTGGCCTGCACATCACGCACAACCGAGGCGATACTTCACGAAGGCGACCTCAACGTCCCAACAGTTCCGGTTGCTACTGAATGTATGTACAGTTCTGCGAGTGCTGCAAGCAACTTTCCTTAATTTGTAAACGTTTGATTATTTCTCCCATACCAGCGGGAACGCATTTACCAAAACTTATAAATAATAATGAGCAGAATTTGTTATATTAT